ACTTTCCTAACCACTAAATATGAATGCGATTAATGATAAACATTCCCATAAGTTTTTATTTTTCCTTATTGCTGATCTCTGTTAGGAACAGGGGCTGCATGAAATTGCCCCAATTAAATTGGCACTGACACAGAACATTGTTGTAGAGTCCTATGATGCCTCATTGAATTTCTCCTTGGGGACATTTAATTCTTCTGGAAATTTCCGTAATTTGGGGAGAAAATGCATCTATTCAATCAATCAAAATAGAGCAGGAAGGGACATTGGAGATCTTCTAGTCCAGCCCCCTGCTCAAGCAGGAGATTCTTTACTATTTCGTACAAAGGACTGTCAAATCTCTTCTTAAAAACCTCCAGTGAGGAAACACCCACAACTTCTGGAGGTAAGCTGTTCCCCTCTTTAAATGTCCTCATTTGTTAGGACTCAGTTCACTCAATTCTGCTTCCCTTGGAGGCAACAGTGAACAAGTCATTGTCCACACAAATCTTCTGCAATGCGCAGATCACACGAGAAGAGAGTTTGAGGGTTTTGACAGAGTTGTCCAGCCTGAGAAACTTTGGCGAGTGTTCTGCTGCTCCTGTAATGCCAGGAAACAGTGGCAGGGAAGGACAGCTTTCAAAGTGGAAACGAGTGGATCCCTCGCCTAAGTTCTTGATCCTTTGCTCTTTCACTGGATGAGCCTTCATGTGGGATAGTGTTGCTGTTTGCCTCACTCCAACTTGGTAGCCTATTACAGGACTTTTCAACTGGTGGTACATGTACCACCTGTGGTACATTAATGAGTGGCAGGTGGTACGCAGCCCTGCCTAGCCAAGTGTAGTGGGGGAGGGAAAGAGCCAGTGCAGACAAGGACTTACTTTGAGAGAGTCCTCTGGAGCTGCAGAGTGGCTGAGAAAGGAGCAGGAGGGGGCCGGAGACAGGAGAGGCTATAAAAGGTTGCAGTTTGGGCGGGAGAGAGAAAAAAAGCAGCAGCCTTGGGAGGAGGGGGAGTCAGCTCTAGCTGCACTGAAGAGAAAGAAGGAGGAAGAGGGTGGGAGAAGATCAAGATGGCCGGCCATGAGCTGATCTACAACTGCTGTGGCAGCCACCTGTGCTGGCAGCAGCAAACAGGCAAGAAATGCAGCGGGGGAATGGTCGCCCTCCAGGAGGAATGAAAAAAGGCAGCAATGGCTGGATGTGAGGCAAGGGGGAGGGAGAGAGGGAGGGAGGGAGATGGAGAGTGGAAGGATTCTTATGTGCTTTTGTGACTTTGATGTTCTGGGATTTGTGCAATGTGGGCTTTGTGTTCTTAAGGAGTGTTTGGCAATTTCTATTTGGCTGATGTCTCGTGTTAGCTTCTATTGCTCTGCTACTGTTAGCTGTACGTTTTGCTGCAAGGGATTTTGTAGTATTTTTCTCCTGAATGGATTTTGCCATTTGGGGAGGCTGCCTTAGCCGGCAGCCAATACTTACTACATTTTTTTTCTTAAGTGCCAGCTTCGCTCCTTAAGTTTGCTTTCTAGCCAGTAGCTAATTCTTAAAGGGGAATGTGCCTTTTTAAGCAGTTTGTCTTTTCTGTCTCTGGAGGCTTTCCCTTGTTTGATGAATATATGGAAGAGAGAAAATATGGGGGGGGGGTTTCAAGTTCTTCCTTCAGAAGGTGGGCATGAGAAAGGGAAGGAGGGAGGGAAGTAAGTCCCGCCTTAGCACTTGGCCACCAGCAACCCTGCCATTGACTTTGCTTGTCAAAAGGTTGCAAAAGGGGATCACATGACCCTGGGTCACTGTGACCATCATAAATATGAATCAGCTGCCAAGCATCCAAATATAAATCACATGACCCTGGGCATGCTGCAATGGTCATACGTGTGAAAAATGGTCATAAGTCATTTCAGTGCAATTGCAACTTTGAACAGGTTTGGTGTTTTTTTTGGGGGGGGTCATCAAGTTTTTGACACCTTGGTGGTACTCGAATATTGCCATATCCTACAAGTGGTACAATTGGTGAAAAGGTTGAAAAGCCCTGGCCTATTAGGTGTCAACATAAGTGATTCATTTATAGGAGGATCCGAGCTGTCCCTTAGGGGGGCACTGCATCAAATACCAGCTGAGGAAGGAGTTGCCGGTAATAGTGGTGTTGGGGGCACTTTAAGAGGACTGCAGAAGAACGCAGTGAAAGTTCTGGATGAATGGGAGGACTGGGGCTGCACTATAGTTGGGGAGGGGCTGAAGAGGGAAAACATTCTGGGAGATATGCCTCCTGCAGTGGGAATTGGGAGAAGGGCAATTTGGCTGCTAGTGTGTGTGGGGATTCCCAGCCTAGTCAGTCCCAAGTTGATCCAGAAATACCAGCCTTTTTTCACCTGCATCCCCCTAGTATGCATTTCTGCTCCTTTCTTTGTGTTTTTGCGGTTGTGTGTCTGTGTGTGTGTGTGTACACCTTCAGTTATCCTCGTCCAGAGAGGAGTATATTTAAAGAGAGAAAGGGTCTTCCTAAATGTGGTATCTTGGAGTTCTCTTCGGAGACGTCAAGAACATGCAGATCTCTTATGTAGGAATAGAGATGGCAAGTCTTCTGCAGATGTCCTTTTCCCACTGGCTGTTCAGTGATCATTTCTGCATCCAGATTATTCCAGCTGGAAAAGAACAGCAAGCATGGAACACTCTGGAATGTTCTTGAGCTTTGCAGCTGGAGGCGGTTTCTGCTTATGGTCCTTTGCAGCATGACAGCTCTCCGTTTCCTCTTCAGAGGATAAAATGCTGGAAATCTCCGGAACACTGAAGACTCAGGGCTTTTAGCTCTGCCTGTGGAAAAGAACTCCTTCACTCTGCAGGCTGAAGAAGGCTCAGATCCTTAGAATCCAAAGTTCATTTAGCCAGCCTAGTCCAGGAGTCGCCCCTAGAAACACCTTTTGAGGGGGGACTTTTTCAGCCAGCCTCTTTGAGAGCAAAAGAGAAGCATGCTGAGTAGCCCAGGGTTCAATAGGCTGGCTGAAAAAAGTTAGTTTGGATTTTGGAGCGGACCTTTTTCAGTCAGGCCCCAGAAACCAGTCCTTCCTTGCAGGCTTCTTCATTGACTTTCGGGAAAGTTTGCGGAGAAGTTGCAAATATCGATCACATGATTATAGGGCACTTGCCAACAGGCAGGAAAGTACTAGAGACACCATAAATATATTCAAACTGTGATATGATAATGCCTTCTCCTGTATAATGTGGCTTTCTGACGTTTGTACTCGGTGTAACCAAAAATCGTGAGGGGTTTTGTTCAGTTTCTAACATTAACCTCGTTTTCAAATATACAAACTAAGCTCTTATCTGGTCCACCTACACACATTCATCTTTTATTTAATAACTTTTGTAATCTTTTGTCTATTTTTTGCACTAATTTGCAGCCTTGTAATGTAAGTACGGTTGCTTCCTTCTTTTTGCCTCAAATATTTTGACTAGGAAGAAAAAAAAACTTTCTAATACCTGGTTTGGTTAACATGTTCTCTCCATGAAAAAGAGCATTCATTTGTGGTTATTAAGTACTTAGGTTATGATACAAGATTTCTAAAATGATCACAAAAATGGGATGCTCCAATTGAGATATGGGCAGGTTTGTGACTGCGTTTTTCTTTGTGTGCTTCTTTGAGAAGATATATTTGTACCTGTCTCTCTCTTCCTATCTTTGGGAAGGGCTATTGTTGGGTACATAAGTCGTCTTGGATACAGGGTTTGGGCCTGCATTCCTGGTCTGGGAATCCTAACTGGAAGAACATTTTGTCAGCCCTTCAAGGTAGTCCAGACAAGGGTCACGTGAATGAATACTAGCGCTATCTCTAGTGAGAGGCCACAATACAAAATCCTGAAACTCTGAAAATATTTTTTCCATCCTCTTTAAAAAATTAGGGAGTTTCTTCTGCAATTCTTCCAATCCCCCGTCACCCTCACAATCTCCTTGTGGGGACTAGGTTATCTTTTAGCTAATACTTGTTCAGCCAAAGGCTTTCCCCATGTCTCCCAAAGTCATTCTCATTCTCCCATTAGCCCATCCCTATCCATGTTCTCCAGAAGTCTTTTCCACTATTTGTTTGTAAAGAAGAGAAACAAAGGCATGTAAGACTTTCTAATAATGTTTATTGTATTTTCAATGAGAATGAATAGTTAGAATATCAGCTGAAAGGAATCAATTAATTCCTGCATTAGAGGAAAGAAAGGGAGAGAATGAATGAATTCTGGCCACTCCTTCAAAAGCTGGAGCTTCTTAACTCCCTGAGGCTGGGAGGCTGAAATAAGCCTGAATTTCTTTTTTCCCCATGAATTATCTCTGAGTGGAAACAAATATTTGCCTAAAAAAGAAATAAACCATCCTATAACTAAGGTCACTGATCTGCCCTCAGCAATTTTGAAATTCTATTACTTATAGCTTTTCTTCTGTGTGACCACTTAGATTGTAGATAATATTCCAGTTCACACCAGCAATATTTTCACTTTCCATGCAGTAATAAACTTCCTGAAATGTCTAGATTGTTGGGTGAATAATAAGTTGACTGTTACAAATAAAGCTCAAAGCATGAACTCATTTGTTTTTTCCTGTAGATCAGCACCCGGTCAGCATGGGCCAGGCCGAGGCAGCATGGGCCGGTCCTTCGTCATTTGTAGGTTGGCTCCGGGGGGGGCGAAATATAACCACATGGTAGGCAGGATGTTTTAAGAAGCAAAGTCAAAGGGGAAATCCAGATTCACTTAACAACCAGAGTACTAACTTATCAACTGCAGTTATTCACTTAACAACATAAGCAAGAAAGCTCATAAAATGGAGCAAAACTTAATGCCTCAATTAACGAGAAATTTTGGGCTCAATTGTGTTTGTAAATCAAGGACTACCTCTAGTCATTAAAGGCGTTTTTTTTTCACCACTTTATACATTTGTGGGGTGGTTTCCCTGTGGATACTTTGATGGCCAGTCTATGTACTTGTATGGTTGCTTCCCACTGTGAGTCCCTTGGTGGCAAATAAGATGACTGTTCCTAATATACCTTTTTCCACATTCCATGCATTTATATGGTCCCTCCCCAGTGTGGCTCCTTTCATGACGATTAACATGTCCTTTCTGGGTAAAGGTCTTTCCACATTCCATGCATTTATAGGGTCTCTCCCCAGTATGGATCCTTTTGTGACGATTAAGATCTCCTTTCGTGGTAAAGGTCTTTCCACATTCCATGCATTTATAGGGTCTCTCCCCAGTATGGATCCTTTTGTGACGATTAAGATGTCCTATCCAGGTAAAGAACTTTCCACATTCCATGCATTTATATGGTGTCTCCCCAGTGTGGATGCTTTGGTGATCATTAAGATGTCCTTTCTGGGTAAATGTCTTTCCACATTCCATGCATTTATAAGGTCTCTCCCCAGTGTGGATCTTTTGGTGGCAATTAAGATTACTTTTCGTACTGAAACTCTTTCCACACTGCATGCAGAGTCTTCTCTTTCTGCTCAGACTGGAATCCACCAAAGATTTTACAGAGGTATGTGATTTGCGTTTCCAATACAGTTTCTTTGGTGAAGCAGGAACAAAGGAGTTATTCTCCATAGTATCTACAGGCAGGCAGTTTTTCTTTACTCTGGTTTCCGCTATAGTTATGTAATTCAAATTTATGTTTTCTTTTTCCCTATATTTTCCTTTTCTCATTTCTTTCTGATCTTGCTGGGATAGGAAGCCACAAACACCAAGAGAAATGAATGACTTCTCCCCTCTATCTTCTGGCTGTTTTCTCTTTAGCCTTTTGGTGTCTCTCTGATGCCCAAGGGTTAGTACTTTTAATTCATTCTTCTCTATTTGAAGTAGATTTAACCTTGCCTGCTTGCCGTTCTCATTCACAGAAACATCATCTGCATGGAAAAAAAGAGAATTAATATTCTAATTAAGAGAATTTAGAAGGCTGAAAGAGAGATGTCTCGCCCCCTCCCCAACATGTCAATCTGCGTTCCTGGTTTGGTAGAATCCATTTGTCCAGCCAAAATGTGATATCTGCAAATTGTTATCCAGGAGTCTCTTGATTGTATAGAAAGAATGTTTTCAGCTAAAAAACTGGTTAAAGCTTTGGTGTTGATCAGTCAATCTATTCAATCACTTCCATGGAGTATCTAGGACATTTCTTAATTCTATGGTGAATACTTCTGCCAGCGTCCTTTAGAGAGATGAACATCCTGGTCTTACCCAAGGCAGCCATATTCCCAGCAATCTCCTGCATGACTTCTCTGCACAAGGCCTTCTGGCCAGAATCTAGCAGCCTCCATTCCTCATCTGTGAAGTCCACAGTCACCCCCATAAATGAATCAGAGCTCTAGAAAGAGAAAAAAGCAGACAATCCCAGGAAACAGTTGAAAGTTCTCTCTCTTAGTGCACACAACAGAAAACACACAGTTGCAAGAGACCAAATGGACATTTTCTTTCAGGTCAGATTCATGTCATCCTGTCCACACAGTCTGTGGGGCTAGGAAGCTGCAGCTGCACAAATCACGGCTTCCAGGTTGTAGAATGCAACACAGCCAACCATAGGGAGCTTCCCACTGGCCTGGGGTAACTCAGTAAGTAGGTTTATGGCAGAAAATCTGCAAGACTTACCTGCCTCACTGACCAAATTCCTAAGAAAACAGGACAGAGCCACTAGGAACTTCCTTCCTAACCTATTTAAAACTATTGCTAATGTCCTTGAAATCCCAAGTTACTTGAACAACAGTTTTATTGTCACAGCCACTTAGTGTTGACTTACTGGCTTATCTTTCATGTGCTATATTTTTCTTGGTATACTTACAGATACCTTACAAGGGAGATGGGTGGCATAAATATTTAATAAAATAAACACTTCTCAGGCATGTTTAATCCCACTGTTATTGTTTCAGTTCATGGGTTTTATTTCTAACTATTTTAGGCACTCTTCTTAATAGTATTCAGAAATATTAAACTCTTTCTACAATGAAGTTACATTTCTAATACAAAGTTCCATGCCTGTGAATTGTCCCATTTGCATTTCCAGAACAATCTTGAAAGCCAAATGTGAGTGGACACTGTGTTCAAGTGCACATAGACTCAGCTTTCAGTATTAAACACAGCTCCGGAATGGATGGAGCTGGAACGCTACTGTTCTCAGAAGAAATCTGCACTTACCTGGCAAGGTGGCCAGAGTTGGGTCCTCCTGAAAAACAGCTCCTGAATAGAGCTGGATCCATCTCCTCTGCCCCGGAGCTCTGCTGAAATCTCGTCTGTGAACGGCTCCTGCATTTGAAGAACAAACTGATTTATAATCCATTTTCAGAGGACAATATCTGTGATAGTTTGCATTCCTTACATTTTGCTTTCCTACTTGTATTTCCCCAACCCAATTCAGAGACACTTCAGGGACTCTGCATGTGACTTAAAACAGTAGGCTGTGTTTTCATGTACATAAACTATAAGGGTGTGTTAATTAGTTTTTTTCTCTTACTATTTTGGCATTATAGAGCTTCTTAAATGTGGCTCTGTATCAGAAGCCATTCACATAATCCATTTGCTTCCCCTTATCTAGATTCAGGTAAGAGCAGATCACAAAGTAAATGCTGATTATTATGAGAAATGTGGATAACATCACAAAGGATACAGAGGTGTAAAGGGATAAATTAATTTAAGAAACAGAAATCAATTCTTCAAAAGTGAGGAATTCCAGAAAGGGCTGCAGAGTCATATTTTTAATCTCTTTTATTAGAGACATGGCTAGATCTCTGATCCTCCCCCCCCCCAATGGAGCTCCCAGGATGAAGCCCCCCCGCCCTCCTCACCTGCCCCTTTCCCGGCTCT